CCAACATATGAAGAAATAATGCACAAAATTTGCCGTAAATTTTGCACAGAATCCATATTAGAAAATCACCAAACAATTTGACGAATTCAAGAATATACATTTGATTTCTGTTTGCAACTAACGTTTCGAAATAAGCTCGCGTGCTCATTACTTGACGATAACTAAGACAGAACTGTGCAGCAGCCGGGAGTTCGTCGGGGATTGCATTAGGAAGTTCAATTTATCGAGTTACGTTTCAACTTTGCGATCGCCGGAATACTAACGACTCGGCCAGGACGCGTTTTATTCCTCGCCATCTCGTTTTGCGTTAACGACCCCGGCCGACCCTCGCCCGAACCAACGCCGCGCGATAACGAACCCGGATGAAATCGCGGATATTTAAAGTCCGAGGTAAATGCGCGACCGCGCGCGTGGACACCGGCGAACTTTGTAAGAGAATAAGCAGACCGCCGAGAGGCAAAACCTACGAACGAAGTTCGCGTGGCCAGCGAGAGACCGTCACGGGTTTTGTCTTAATTCATCTCGGAACGTATGCGACTTTTATACTCCGGTTTGTTCCCCAATTTAAAAAGGGATTACAAACTACTAAGTCATTTTGTCAACAAGTCTTTTGCCTGGGTTTTTACGTTAAACCCTTTCGGCCCTCGGCAGAATGTAAAAAGCCCTGCGCTGAATGTTAACTCAGTTTTATTTACTCATCAGTTAAAACGCTTTGCTCGTGGAAAAAAGAAATTTCAAAGCAGCAGTGGAAGATTAAACAATAAATACTTGACACGATTAAGAGAATAATAAAATTCAACATTCATGTAGATCGTTTAATGATTTTTTATAAAAGAGACTGAAGAGACTCACCGATTTTGACGACTGAGGGAAGCGTCGCGACGTTGAACGGCAGCTGGAGCAGCTGAAGCACAAAGATGGTGGCCACCAGAGAGCCCAAATTCATAGCTCATCGCGAATGCCCACCGTCGCGGCCTCTCTCCTGCTTGGCCCTTTTCTCACTAGCACCTCACCGCACTACTAATCGCGAGGCTCCGCACACACGAAGACGACGTAGCCGTTTCGAGCTGCGTGCATTTACCTGAAACAGCCGAGTTAACAAAGCATGAATGAGCCGAGAAACTTTAGCACGGTGCATTTACGGCGTTGTTACTCCGCGGCGACAATCGTTGCCTCGTCGGAAGCGGAACGCGCGTCACGTCACGCGTGTGCGACGACGTTACCGCGTAAACTTTGTTGGCTAGTATAATTATGCGCGCAGCCTGGCAACTGTTCCGAACAAAGATTCTATTCTGATCGCGTATTGTTATTTACTCCGAAAGATTTTTAGACTAAATAGATTTGCACAATTCGATTTAACACTAGATTGCCCAAGGAAGTCATTTTGACTGGTTTTGAGCAAATGTACAAATAAT